AGCAGAAATGTTAGATGTTAATAAACGAACCGACCCGACAGCAGACCCCGCCGCGGTTTCATTTCCAGCTACACGAGACCAAAACAACTGGGAAGATTTAACAGCGCGATATACTCGCCATTCAGTTGCAGGAATTCCCGGCGCTAATGGTTATATGCGCTTAGGACATAAACCAGTACGCGGACTGTTAGAAAGCAATTATTATTTGACTTTCGTTATGCTCCACTTGAACTGGAATTTACCATTGTGTCAGATGAACTTTTGTAATTACACCTTTTAGTGTGTCTGATGTCAATACGCAAAATGATGCTTCCGGATATTACTTCACAACTGGCGACACCAGCGCCTTGTGGGAATTGAATAATGTAATTATACGAGGCGAGGTAATCCAGTTAGACAACACTGTCAATAACAATATTGTTAAACATTTGTTAGAAGGACAGTCGTTGAAATTGGTATTCCCTATGTATCACACTATGACGCAATCATTCAACGCGGCAGGAACTGAAATTAAGATGAGCATTGTTAAATCCGCTTCTAAATTAAATGGTTGCTTCATTACATTGTATCGCACTCCAAGAACTGGTGTTGATGCCGACAACAACAACTATTACAGACACGACAACTACATTCACAAACGATGGAATTACTTTTACAGTCCTATGATGAACACTCGCATTTTTGATGGTGCTGACCCTGATGGCGCTGGTCGTGAGCGTTTCCAAGGTAAAGGCTTCCAAGATAAGGGTTTCAATTTAACGTGGCAATTACAGATTAACAATAAGAAGTATCCAGAATTTGAATGTCAATTCCTAGCAGAAACCGCGTATTATTTGAGACGAACATTACACTGACCAAGATGCCTTTAGCATTTCATACAAACGCTACAGAAACGACAAGTTTATTATTGGGATATCGTTTGAAAAGATGGCAGACACTAATTTTACTGGTCCAAACACAAAAATGGGCGGTCTGCTGGTATACAAATTGAAAGGAACTAATAGAGCACTGACAACTGATGAAGATGTCCGTGAGGTGTTTGTGCATATGATTTCGGAATCAGTTCTGGAATTAAGGGAGTCCGGAAGTCTGCTCTATGATTAGTTCATTCATTTTTCAATTAAATAACTACTAAAAATAACTTAAGGAATAGTTATTTATAGTGATTGATGGTAGAAGTTGGTAAGAAAGATTTTCGTAAGGCTAAAACTTATTGCATTAGAAATAGTATTGATGATGAAACTTACATAGGTTCAACTTGCCAATCATTAAGTAAGAGAATGGCATATCATAGAGGTAGTATGAATACTGATGCAAAAAAGGATAGAAAATTGTATTCAATGATGCACATATTAGGTATTGAAAACTTCTATATTAAAAAATCAAAGACTGTCCGGAATGCAAGAATGTAGAAGATTTGAACAAAATTGAAGGCGAATACATACGGCAAATGGGAACACTAAATATGCAAATACAAGGAAGGACAAAACAGGAATACTACGGAGAGCACAAGCAAGCATTCTATGAAAAAATATTTAAAAAAACGCGAGAACAATGTTGAAAAGGTAAAGGCATACCAGAAAGAATATGCAGAACAAAACAAGGAAATAGTAAGAGAAATAAAGCAAAAATACGCAATCAAAAACAAGGATAAACTACACGCAAAAGTAGATTGTCAATGTGGCGGAAAATATACATTAAGTCATAAAGCAGAACATTTTAGAAGCAAACGCCATCAAGCATATGAACAACAAAATAATAATAATCTAAATAATAATATAAACAATGTAACGTCATCACAAGAAGAATGCGGAGAAAAATAAAGGAAACATATTCTTACAATCCTCACAAATTAAATACAGTCCCTACGAGTTAAGAGATACAAAATATTTAGAACACCTACACGAGCAAATGAAGTTAAGAAACTCACAGGAAGCATCCATAGCATTCATTAAACACGTCAAGGAAGGAAACGCAAGAGCAAATTATCAAAATGAATTAGACAGATTAACAATGGAACTACACCGGCCAAATCTACCACATAGCACATTAGAGCACCTACAAAAACGAATTGAAGAGTTGAAAAAATTAACATTTATTTACAATTTATTATAATAATAAAAATCTAACTATTATTATAATAAATATCGCAACTACAGCAAATTTAGAATTGATAAACCCATACGCAAAATTTGGACTGAACAGACGACCCGCTTATGAAGAAATCGCTAGTTTAATAGGCGAGAGCGAACAATTAACAGGAAAACTACCCAACAGAGATGCTACAAAAGAAAAACCAAAACAAGTCCTCAAGGTAGTTTTTTTGACGGAAGCGACCAGCAAAGACCAACAAATGAGAATCTTAGACAGGCAAATGAGAGAGATAATGATGAGACAAGAAGCACACAGAAACGGACACACTTACGCGGTTCATAGGAGAAATACCAAACCAGCAACAGCAACGAATGATGTCCAACCGACACAAGCACAAGAACCATCATTAACACAGGTTCAAACAGAATTACAGCAACGAGCACAACAAGCATCTCAAAGACAACAAGGATTACAAGAACAGCATAGAAACTTTATTACACTAGGAGCATCGTCTATTTTCAATCGCTTAATGTTAGGTCGCTCGACATCCGCAGACGCCTCACCGCCACCTTGCCCAGACAGCCCAGAATTAATACCAGATGAAGAAATGATGACAGCAAGGGGCGAAGCACCAGAACCAGCATTAGGTGAAAAAGAAAGATTAATCATATCAAGAATTGATGAACTACACCCAGACAATGAACCAGAGTGTAAACAACAAGCATTTAAAATATTGAATGCTCTAAGGTCACCTTAGCCATTCCGATTAGCTATTCCAACAATTCCCCAAAATGGATGCAAAATGATATGTGTTTGCCAAGAAGGCACGGGGACCTCACGAACACCAACAAGCCCGTACCCCATTGCCCACGCCGCCTAACAGGCTTTCACAGCCACATTGTGACCCCAAACTGCAAACAAAGGCCCCAAATCGAGCGGGCGTCTAAATTTGAACCCTGTCCAAACCGAAGAGAACGATGTTTGCAAACAGAACGATAGCACAAACAGAATGGGGAGTTTGGCGCGTAGAGCCCTATTTTCCCATTCTGTTCCAAAATTCAACTTTTCCCCAAACAGGGTTAAAAGAGCGGGAGAAAACACGAGGCGACCCCGAACTTGATGAGTGTGGATCAAAACGATGCATTGTCTGATCCAACAGCTGAGGGAACAGAACGATGTTTTTACTGAGTGCGCGATTCCGAAAAGAATGGGTACCGCAAGGTTAGAAATGCAGTACAAGACAGACAACCACGATTTTTTGCAAATAATCTGACTGAAATGAGCAAGGTGGTGAATGATTTGTACATCATACATTTGATTAAGGCAACGGAGTTTGAAGAATTCACCCATTTATAAAGACTACATAAGAACGCGAAAGGCGATGTAAAGAAACCCATAACAGACCAAATAGCCCAAATGTATGGCGACCTTGTTTATTACAAATACCGCGCCAAACCTCAACAAGTATTAAGAGCAACTACTTAAAAATGGCAAGACCTCCAAATATCGCCTCTGGAAGCGGTGACAGTTAATAATAAAATCTAAGTTTTTTAATGATAATATTAACTAAAAATAGATTGAAAAGAAAGAAGCATAGAATTAATGATAGTTATGATGACGACGACAGTTTTTCAATACCTAACCTAATGAAACCAAACACGCAACCAACAAAACAACCACCGAGAACAATAATGATAAAAAAGGAATACCAAAAGGATTTAACGACATGGCGACCAATGCAGATACTATTGCTACAGAAAGCAGATGGGTAAATCATGACGCATACGTTGGCATAGGGGAACGCCTACATATGTCATTTGAGGCTTTCAAGGTTAAAGAAGACCAAGACGGTATGTTTAAAGTAATGCTTAAAACTTCTGGCGTAACACACATAGAAGACATGAACCAACAAGAACCCAAGCAACGCAAACAATGAAAAATAAACGAGACGCATTGGTGTCAGCCTTTACTACTATGCTTGACAACAACAAACCAAAGAAACCACCGCCGTCGCCAGATGACAGCGATGAAGAGGAAAACAAAATCAAATTAACAAGGGGCGATAATAAAAAAATGTTAGAACACGGTTTTACAATAGCACAAATGACGGCATATTTGACATATCATACATTCGCAACAGCATCATATATTGGCGATTTGCTTGCTGAAATAACGGCAGGAAATACACAAAGTAGTAGCAGTTCATCAAATGAAGTTGTTAGCATTCACTCGTCGCCAGCGGATACGCCGTGATACGTCCGATTGGAATCAGGAATCAACGAGCTACCCAAGTCCGATTGAACGATTTCTCCGCCAAGATGTCAAACGAGAGGGTTATGAAAGACCAACACTCCGAAAGCTAATTACTTTACCTGAACACAACTTTCCACCGCCACTCACTCAATATAAAGCCTGATCATGTCTGATCTGCATAATACAGAATCAACCCCGGTCCTTGACCGTGGCACTGTGGCACTGATTAGTGCTGCATGCCATGCTAGCCATGGGTGTTCACAAAATTATACATAATTGGATAGGCGACTGTTTCCCATCGCATCCAAATCCGTTTCTCCCTGCGAGTTCCAGCCCTGCCCAAGTCTTGCTGAACTTGTGAGGAGAGGATCTCAAAAATGTTGCCCTCTCCCCACAAGGTAAACTCCAAAGAAGCGTCCTTTGAGATGATGTACCGACGTGCACTGCTATTGCTACCCAGCTTGTAGTCAGCATTGGCAAATCCTATGATCCGATCTCAAAGCCACGCGTTGGATGAGCGCATTCCACAGAGAAAATGTGGGAAAATACAGAACGCCGGGACGCCGGCTCTCACTTCTGGCCCTGGTACATTTGGGACATCTGCGCACTCGATAAGCCCTGGCCTTTCATGGAACTGCGGAATTGATTCCAATTCAAGCCACCACTGCTGCTTCCAGCAGACATGCCAAGGCCATGCCCGCCAGGAAGCGATAAAGGCTGGTAAGCCGCCCTGATGTGTGCCTGTGAGTAGCCTTGCCCGCCCATTGCCTTCTGGTGTTCGTTCCATGCGTTCCTGGCTCGCAAACCGCTGCTGCTGTGGGAACTGCTTGCTCTGGGCGAAGGCTGGTAAGCCGCCCTGATGTGTGCCTGTGAGTAACCTTGCCCGCCCATTGCCTTCTGATGTTCGTTCCATGCGTTCCTGGCTCGCAAACCGCTGCTGCTGTGGGAACTGCTTGCTCTGGGCGAAGGCTGGTAAGCCGCCCTGATGTGTGCCTGTGAGTAACCTTGCCCGCCCATTGCCTTCTGATGTTCGTTCCATGCGTCTGCTGCTGTGGGAACTGCTTGCTCTGGGCGAAGGCTGGTAAGCCGCCCTGATGTGTGCCTGTGAGTAACCTTGCCCGCCCATTGCCTTCTGATGTTCGTTCCATGCGTTCCTTCGTGCGTGAGTCGGACGACATATCTTCTTGCTGGCTCCACCGGTTCGTCGGCCCACCCCAGCCGCGCTTGCGCGCCTCCGCGTAGGACATGAACTTGCCGTCCCGGTGGATCGGCCGCCCTGCTGAATTGACCCGCACACCATAGTCCGGACAGTCCGGGCAGGGGGGTCCGCCAATTTGGCGGGCCAAGTCGGACAGCCGGTCAATGGCCAGGTGGTCCACCTGCACGGTGTCTGCCAGCATGTGCACCCATTCTGGCCATTGCCAGAAAGGCAGTTGCTGGCCCTGCTGCTTGTAGCCCTTCAAGGTGAGATTCGTGATCTGTGAGTTGGAGGGCACAGCCCACTCATCCCGCGTCACAAGCGGAGCTTTGCCGTAGACACTCTGGCATCCAGCCTCAGGGGCAGCTCAGCATGTCAGGTATGTGGGATTGCAGAAGGACATGTCCCAAAGGTGGGAAGTAATGCATGAACTTCCTGGGGCCCACTAGGGCCCACAAGGGCCCACAACGGCCCACGGAAAAGCCGAGCCTTCATCAGCTTGACCTTGTCCAGCTCGGCCCAGTCGCTGATGCCCAGGAAGGCTGCCGCGCTGGCGCTGGGGCGCTGGCCGACCACCAGGGCGTGGCCCAGGTCCACGGTGGCCTGGAGCACCGCGCCGTCCTTCCCGGACCTCACGCCGTTGGCCTTGCCCTCACAGTCCTCCGGACTCCCCGCAAAGTAGATGAAGGGCCCGAGCCTCAGTCCCCACGTCCCACGTCCCATGTCCCATCCGCCCCGACCGGATTCCAAACAGAGTCCAACGCCAGCGTCAGTGGATGTCAGTGGATGTCAGTGGATGTCAGTGCATGTCTGTGGATGTCAGTGGATGTCAGTGGATGTCAGTGTCAAGCAAGACCACACCGCGCAAGACATTGCAAGACATTGCAAGACACGGCAAAACGCTATGCCCGGGACATGCCACGGCTTGACGGCTTGAATGTCCTGCGGCTCCCAGGCTAAGACGATCCTTGCTCTCACCGCCAGCAGTCCGACAGTCCTGCTGCGGATGATGCTCTCCGCTGCCACTCTGCAGGTCAGGTGGAAGCTTCGCACCTTGCCCCTGAACTCCACCTGCCAAAGCCCAGGGCTCAATATGGCTCAATGCTCCCAGCTCTGCCTTCGAGTTCCCAGGGTCAAAAGCACTCGTCGGGCGATGTGAAGGGCATGTTGGGGGACTTTTGGGCCAAGCAAACCGCATGCCGAACAAATTGGCCCTCCAAGTGAGCTGTTCCCCCACACACCATCTTGCCTCTAATTTCGAGGCACGCACTGCCAGGCTGCCAGGGCCCTTTCCTTCATGATAAGATATGATGGGGCTTCCTGTGTTGGTACCTCAACTGAGCCCATCCTTGTCTTCTGGCGGCGCTTCACACTGCTCTGACTTGCCTCCATGCGCTCAGCCGCCCAGCAACCTGGCCTCAAGTCCGGCATCTCGCGCTGTGACGGGCTCCTGGGTCACCAAGGACGGCTGCACCTGCGATGGCCTCCCTCCCAGCGGCAATGGGGTCAACGGAACTTGTGCCATGAATCTTCAAAATTCTGGGCATGGCCCAATTTAGAAAGGCTGTGTGCTTCAACTATGCGCTCACGTCATTGGGCGATAATAGAGTTGCCCCTTTGCTCATTCACCTCAGGCTTTTAAAATGCAACCGGACTTGCATGCGAGAGACCAGTCAACGATCGCTGCAATAGGATGTGTGTTTTGGCAACGTTGTCTTTATTTGGCTGGCTTTGCCCCTGGCAATGCAGTTCGTCAAGACAAACATGCGGAAAGTTGGCTCGCGCTCAAGAACACCAGCGACAAATCGTGTTGTCAAGATGGGGCCACAATGTCAGTGTCAAGTTTGGCTCTCGCCAGACTTCTACAGCGAGCATGCCCACCCCACGCGCAGCCACAGTGGTGATGTGACGATGGCTCAATCGGGCAAGGGTAGGATTGTACAGATTCGGCCTTGAAAGGTTGGTCGCTTGCAAACAGCCAACCCAGTTCCAATCTTAGCAAAACAGCACATGCAGGGAAAAACCTCCTTTGGAGGGAAACAACCAGCTTCTTTGGCAGCAAGGGCTTACGTCATGGCCACCACAATTGAGCAGCCACTTGCTGTTCCTCTACTCCGCTGACATGTCACATACTTACAAATGCTGAGCAAGCTGCTTGGACAGCCGACATTCATGCTTGGGTTTCTCAAGTGCCAGAAGTAGCTACCAGGCTCCAGTAGCTTGGCCTGCGCTGAAGTGTTTGATGCGCTGAATTGCCAAGCCGATGATGGCGCAAGTTCCGCTTCGGAGCAACCCCTGCCGTAGAACAGAGAGGTGAATCTTGGCCTCTGCCTTGCGGCCGAGAGAATCTAAATTCACGCCTCGGTGTCTCCTGGGCCATACACACACACACACGCAATTAAACGTGGAATCCAAGGCAACCTAATGTCACGTAAGAAACACTCGCACAAGTCTTGGCTGTTCCTCCCAACGGCCATGCATAGAGAAAGTGAGGTGAGCTCTGATAATGTTGGCTGATTGGGGGGAAGAGCCCTAATGTCTTCTCAAGCCACGTGCCACATACTACTGACTATGTTCTGTCAGGTGCTCACATTGACATTGTGATTCCTTGGTTTCATGTTGAACTTTGGACAGGCCAAAATCTCACTTGCCACTTCCGGCGCCTGAGTGCGCTGCACAGGCCGCCACTTGTGACCGTCACGGAGGCTCTCCTGGTTTCCCAAAACCGCGCTAGGCATTCTATTGAAAGCGGGCTGCCAACTCTCTAACGGGCTCAGGTCTCAGGACTAATATCTAAGCAGCATCAGGGCTCTAAAGCAAGTGCCTCAAATTGGAAACGCTTTCAACCCGCAACCCAGGAAGATTGAAGCCATTTTGTGGCGACAGTTCTCCAGACTTGCCACGAAAGCGATAAGCTCTGCGCGATAGGCAAGCAAACGCGGTCCTGGCGCATCTTGTGGAAGTTGATGCGGTAGCTTTCGTGTCCGGTGCCCGTCCACAACCGGATGCGGACTTCTTGCTGGTTCTTGCAAAAGCCCTCCTCAATCAGGCGGCTCACTTCTGCATCGTAGGGCCGGAAATGGCCAGTGCTCCAGGACCAAACTGCACCCGACATGGCCAAGGTCAAGAGATCAACTGCCAAGCACGCAAATCTAAATCTGCCAGGTCTGAGAGCCACAGCGCTCCCGGAATTGTGTTTCTCGCGGCTCTCTCGGTGTGTGATGCGAAGTCACGAGGAGGCTGTCAGTTGTTGCCGATCTGTGTTTTGGGGCACTCACTCAATACATATCATCACTGCTCTCGCTGTGGCTGTGCTGCGCTTGAAAGCCAACAGGGGATCCCAGCCTCGGACTCTTGGCATAACCTGACAATGGTCTCAGAGATTTGCCCTTGGACTCCTTCATTCCCCGCAATAAAAGCGCCGCACACCTCGTGACCCAGAGCTTCATGTGGGTGATCTGCCTTGAAAGAATCCCCAACTCAGCGTCTCATGCACATGATACATGACTCGCCTGTCATAATTGGGTGGCACCATGAGTGGGTGACGAAATTTGAGATGTAAAACATGCACTGTAACATGTCGCATGATAGAATCAAGTCTCATCAAACTCAGCCAGCCAACCAATGAAACTTGCCCTGCTGCCCCGAGGAGCACTTGAAGATTCCCGGTCATGCTGCAAGTCAAGCGCTATGAAAACTGCATGCCCAAGTGGCAAACCGCCAACAACGAGAACCACGACAAGCAGCATCTGATCATTTTTGCTCCGAAGTCCTGCCACAAGTCTTGCTTGGACTGCTGGTTGCAAAGTGCGGAGTCTGGCTCCCAAAATCAAGCCTGCACAACGCCCAAGCCCGGAGGATTCGAGGTCCGGGCAGGGACATCCAGAAAAGTCAAGCTCAGGTGCTCTCATTAGCCCGGAAAACCGCTCAGTGACTCACACTCGCCGGATGTTTGTGACCTGGTCGTAGTTGTAAACCACGTACTCGGCGCCGGAGTCCCGGCCCAGGATCTTCACCGAGTCGTAGCCCTCACTGCGCAGCTGCAAGTAGCTGGCATCCGCGGAGCGGTGCACCACCTTGACCTTCCCCACGCGCACCGTGGCGCTCAGCATGGCCCCGTGGTTGTGGGCCTTCCTCCTGGCCTCAGCCTCGCTCTCCGCAAAGTAGATGCCTCCACCAGCCAGGCCGTCGGATCCGCGATACATGCGCTGCGACTGCACGATCGCCTCGGCTCTGTCCGGGCTGGTGTTGTGGTAGAGCTCCAGGGTGGCGTTTGCGTCCCCCACTGGCAAGCTGTCCCGCTGCAGCGCCTCATGTATCGCGTGGGTGATGAGCCCGTCGTCGAGACCCGGAAATGGCCCGAAAGGGCCCATGCCCAGGCCATGGATCGGGACGCCGCCAACTCTCACCGTCACCTCCCTGGGCGGCTGTGACCTATCCGCTCGCAAATCGCGCACGATCACGGGCATGCCCATGGGCAAGCCACCGAAGCCATTGCCGCCCATCGCGAATGGTCCACCGAACATTGCACGCAGGATCGAGGAGTTCGCGTTGGCCAGTTTGAGCTGCGGATCGGCAGCACAGCGCAGCAGCCACTGAATCCACTGAAGATTTGATAACTGCGCTGGAACGAGCTGAGCAGGACACTTTTTTTGCCAGGGCTTGCACAAAGTCTTGCCTGCGCAAACATGTCAGCATTTAGAAACCAGAGGATATCAGCTGTACACGGCAAACGGGACACATCAACACCACAACAGTCAAATCGAAAATTCCCTCGGATCACTGGAAGAGTTCCTGAATCTTGTTGAAGATGACCTGACAAGGCGGGAAACAACCGCTGCCAACTCACTGTCAACAGTAGCGGGCCGGATGAATTGGGACTTTTCAGCACAGTGAATTCTCACGCAGCGGCAAGCACCATTCAAAATTACACACATGCAAAACACACATTGAAACTTCCAAGTCTCTTAGACTGGGACACTTTGCCCTGCAATACTCTAAAGCTAGCATGTTGGGGAGGAAGTATTCACTGCGCAAGCATCAGAGTTGACGTAGGGCGCTTCCAAGTCAGCACAAGAAACAAAAACATCATAGCTTCACGAGCCGAAATCCGGACATCGCGTTGGATAAAAGAAACCGTCGATGACCCAGCGGCCTTCCGGATGCCCAGCTCCTTGATGCCCAAATCGTCCTTCAGCTCGTCCTCGATGCGACAAGCTTCAGGAAACACAACGCGTACATACGCGTACCCTGGACTTCTGCTGCACTGCCTGAGTTTTGGGATTGCTCAATTGCCCGGTTGCAATGTTACGTATAATATTGAAGGCCAAGCTGTTGTCAAACTGAACCCTGTCCTTTGTCAATTCAGCCAGCACTCTCCCGTCTATTTCGTTACGGCGGAAGGTGTCAACATACCTGGCGCGCGCCAGCACACCGGCAGCGCTCGGCTAAATTTGCCTTCTTATCACAAGCATGGGCTCAAACTTCCCGGCAGGTTTCTGGCAACGACATCTCATCTCCCTGGCCTGGCCTAACACACCTGCCGAAGTCCAAGGCAGCAAGCCATGCGGCCACTTCGTCCACCGCCCAGTCTGCTGGCGACCGCGCTGCGGATGAGCCAGCCGTGCTGGCGTCATCCGTCAGATCGGAGAAATCCTCCGCCTTGTTGGCCGCCCTGGCGTAGCTTTCCTGGGCGGCGCCCCAGAACTCGTCCTCCGCCGGCACCGGGGTGGGGCTGAGCCTGGGCGTTGCCGCCGGCGCGGCCGCGGCAGCTGGGGCTGCAGCAGCTGGGGCTGCAGCAGCTGGGGCTGCAGCAGCTGGGGCTGCGGCTCCGTCGGGCCCTGGCAGGGCAAAGCCGCCCCGGGGCCGTGGCACGAAGATGGGCGCGGTCTGCGGCCGCCCAGGGAAGGATACCTTGAAGTCCGGCAGCGCTGCTGTCCGCTTCTTGAAGGTGTCCAAGCTCAGACTTTGCACCGTTGGCCGGACTGCGAAGCCTGGATGTCTCAGCAGCACAACGTTGCCGCTCACAAACTTGATGTGCTTTTCCTGGCGTTGCTTGCTTGAGATGAGCTGGTAGGCCAAAGGGTTGTCATGGAAGTCCATCCTCTCCCGGCCATCTTTTGTCAAGAACAGGATCAGCATGACGCATCCTTCCGCCATCTCAGGGTCCACAACGAAGACCTTGTCGTAGCCCGGAAGAGATGTCACAGGCAGGTCCCGCCAGGCCGGGGTGGGGATGAACAGGGAAGCAGGAAGCGAATCCAGCCTCGGCGACACGGACATCGACCCATGCATGCAAACGATAGGCCAGTCTTCAAAAGCATGCTATTTTCCTGTTGTGGTCCAGCAACATGAGATGGCGCTAGGTGCGCAGGAATTTCCCTTCGCCAGACGACCGCTGAGGCCGGCGCAACCTGCTATTGAAGCTCCTTTGCGACAAGTGGTCTGCGCCGTAGCGAAGGCCTGCAGGCTCCACAAGTCCCGCGCTGGTCAATCGCAGGCACCGGATGTCCATTGCGCGACAGGAAATTGTAAAGGCTAGATGCGATCTGAAAGGGTCTGTCTGCTGTGCCTCCCGTGACCGGCATCCCAGCCCAACTTGCTCGCAAGCGTGCAACACAAATGCAGCCTGCGAATGTTTTGCACGTCAGTCAGGGCTGAAGGTAGTTTAGTGCAAGCCAATTGCTTTTCACCTCCGCTACATGCTGTTCATTGAACACCCACCCTGGTCCCTGGTCCTCCACGCGCCTGTCGCTCAGCTCCATGGACTCCGATGTGATAATATGCGATGATGCCGTATGCAGAGCCAAGCGCTACGGAACCATTCCTAGACAGCCATGTGGCGTCGAATTGCACCAAGCCACTGCATGCACTCAGCCTTTTTCGGTAGGTATGCGTCAAAATTGGGGGCTCCCTTTGAAACAGTTTTAAAGTGAAACTAACAGGAAACAAGCCATTTTAAGTTAGAATTAGCACATACATCCGCAATTGTTCATTTGAACCGTAGCCCCCCCCTACACTTTTGGCAACATTTTAAAACGGCGCCCCAAAACAGCCCATTTTCAATCATCAACATTTCAAAAGAGGTAAATTCTAGGTAGTTTGTTCAATATTTTTATATCCAAAATTTCAAAAAATCTAAAATATAATTTTACAAATTTTGAAAAATGGAATTTTACAAAATTTTCAAACATTTTCCAAAATGTATTTTTCAAGATTTTCAAAATTCATTTTTACAAAATTTTCAAAATATAACTTTTCCAAAATATAATTTTACAAAATTTTCAAAAATATTATTCCAAAATTTATGATAAACTATTTTACAATAATTTTATCATAGATTTCTTTGAATGTAGGTGGTTCGTGTTATTCATTTTAGAGAAATCAAAATTTATGAACAAGTTTTGGGGAATATCATATGGCGGAAAGAATGGCAAGGTTGGGTTTATTCAAAAATCAAATATATCACACACATAGTCATCTACATCTTCTTCATTAACGTAGCAAATATCATCACCGAGCAATGTGAAAATGTATGTTTTCACAAATATCATAAGTACGTTTATTGGATGTTAATACTTATTTCTAAATTTGTATGGTGTCATTAAACATTCACTACTATAATCTGGAACTCTTCTTGCATGTTGTTTGTTGTACAAATTTTCAAGCAAACAATGAATGAGGAGCATTTTTTTAGCAAATGATTTTATCGCTAATCGGCACTGTTTATCTGTAAGGCTTTTTTCACATCAACCGCGTCAAACAATTTGTCAATGTCTTTCTTTAATACTCTGTCATCATCCAATCTAAAATCATATATGAGAGGTTTTTTGTTATTCCATTTTGCTTAAACCATCTCCATATAGTGCTTTTCTATGAACAAACTGTTCTTCCTGCAATATCATATTAGAACACTTGGAGCAATGTGGGTAATAATTACTAATATATAACAAATGTCAATTGGCATTTTCTGTCTTAAAGTAAATGTATCCTCTTTATTGATTTTACAGTATTTACAGCTGTGACAATTGAATAGCACTGTTTCTATTAATATATATAATTAATTTTTCTTTAAATACATTTTACAAGAAATCTTGCTATCATTATTTACAACTACAATTACAACGGGCACAATAAGGAACAATATTAGTCAATTCGTGCGGTCGCTCGCTACTTTTCCTTTGTGCTGTTAGATTCGTCATTATATTACCATTTTCGTATGAATAGAAAAACCGCATCCGCAGCAATTACATTGATTTTTGATATTATCTAAAAACCAGTTGACATTAACATAACCTGTCTTATTTATCTCTCTCTTGGATTTCCTGTCCTGTTCTTTGTAATTTAATATGTTTCTTTCAATATAACTTAAAATACATTTTTCATTAAATACATCATCTGTATCATTACTATATTTGAAAACTTAGCTTTATTCAAATCGCGGGCTCTCGTGATCGCTGTGAACAGCCAATCTCTATAATTCCTTACCAAGAAATGGTCAATCAAAAATAGTGATTGTGCCATCAATACTACTACCCTGTGCAGAATGGCACGTGCAGCATGAACTAAATATAAAATTGCTTCTTTTTTATCAACTGGTAAAGATTGTAATATTTCAGGTTTAATATTTTTCAATGTAAAAATTCCACCGCTTCCAACATGGACGATTTTGTATTTGAAATTTACATTAAAAACTGATGTTTTAGTTTTAGTATATTCGCGGCAGATTAACAATTCTGAAACCTCATATTCATCTTTTCTATGTTCTAACTGCCTAATTTCATTTGATACATTCCTACAAGTATTATTTAAACATGCAATGTTATTTTTTGAGCTACTGATGTCAGTTGTATATGCAAAATATTTTCAATAATAGTTTTAACTGGTAATTTATCAACAATAATATCATTTCTTATATCATATAATTTGTTTCTATCACTCTCATTATTTAGCCTTTTACATATTTACAAGTTAATTTAAATGGAAAAATGTTATCTAATGCTTCCTCAGCATAAGTTTGATAATCTTTTGTATTTGTTATTTCTTGTATCGGTTTGAGTTGCAACGTGTCACCGGTGCCAATTATTACTTTATCTTTGTTATTTTCGATAAAGTGTTGTATTCTCCAGTAAATGCTAATATTACTAAAATATACTTCGTCAAATACAATACAATCGTAATCAGTATCATCAAAATCATCTAATTTGACAATGCTAAATGATATTCCGAAAATTTTATTCATTGTTATCGCGATACCTTCAAATGATTGTAGCAGTTTATTAGTAGGACAAATAAAAACTACATTATAACCTCTATCAATCATTCTTTGACAAACATAACTCTTTCCTGTGCCCGGGACTTCGCCTTTTATGATTACATGTTTATTTGGTATTATGTGCTCATCAATAATATTATTTGTGTCATATTCATCTTTTGGAAATAATTCCTTACTTTCATAAACTAGTATTTTTACTAATTCATTTTTCAAATTTTTGATATTTTACAGTAGGAAATTGAATTTCTTCATTTATTGAAATTCTCCATCGACCTATATTATCATTGAAATCTAAGATTTCTCTTGCTTCGTCTAAATCACATGTATCAATTACAAATGCATCAGTTTTAACACTATATACATTAATATTATTTAATATCAGCTTATAAAAATCTTGATTCATATCATAATTATGATGTTGCAATAAAAGAAGTTTAATATATCCAACCCATTTTTTAATATTGCTTTGTGTTTGAAATTCAAAATATAATATGATGTTTGTTCTGCTTCATCAATTATATTGTATGGTTCTTCTTCTTCTGTCTTCATATGTGTTAGCTTATGTAATTTGCCTCCATATTGTGCTTGATAGTTCAATGCTTCACTAAGATGTTTAAATGGTATGCTTTTCTGGTCTGTTGCTCCGCATTTCTCTAATAATCCATAATTCACATTTGCTACTAACTTTTTAATAATTTATCCTCGTCTATATCCTCACTTACCTTAGTATTCCATAACTCATTTAAAATACTTTGATAATCAACCTGATGAATAAATGAAGGTTGTTTATAATATAATATCTTAATATTGTTTTGATTAATAAACTCTTTTAAGAACTTACCATAAACTAAATTATATTTTTTGTTAAACATCAATCCTATTTGATTTTGAAATAGCACTGTGTTTATGTAATGTTCAAATCTTTTACAATCCATAAATTCAGGGGTATTTGTATCCCTGAATTGGTTTATATAATTTGTCATCTGTTCCTCACTCAACAGCGATTGCATATAATCTAACATATTTTCGTGTTCTTCCCTTCTTTTGATAAGTTGCTTCAATTTGTCCATAGTTGCCTGTGTCTGTAATTTTCCTGCGTGTTCAATTTCAATATAATACAATGTTAATTCATGAAGTTCATTAATACCAACTGTATCATCGTAAGGTTTCCAGATGTCAAACTGATTGAATATAGGTATTTCTGTAATATGTGTAAAAGCCTTGGTAAATGCCTCATTCTTATCAGTTTCAATATGTTAAGCTGATTTTATCAAACAATAATCCAGATGGAACTGTAATTCTTGCTTCGTCTAAAATTTTGATATCAATGTCAGTATCAAATGACTTATGAGATAAATTAAAAATAATGATTTGTTGAAATTAAACATTGATTTGTTCATATAATTATATACAGTTTCACAATTTACTGCTATATATCCATCTGCTGATGTTTTTATTAAATTTTGAGTTTTTATAACATATATGATTTTATTCAATTTTAATTTAATTTATGATATAATCCCCGCTTGCTATTTAATTTTTGGTTCATATCCACTCTCAATTAAATTCAAAAATATTTCGGTCATATTGTTATTTTCTGGCGCTAAACAATTTCCTTTGTATTTTTATCACATTCAATGCTTAATATTTCATCTATACATTTAGTCATTCTAAATGTAGGTGGTTCTTCCCTTTCATTTATGTAATAATCAGTTGATGCTGTCACTGCTGGTATATTTGTTTCATTGTGTTTTTGCCGAATACTTTTTAAATCATGGCTTAATGCATAAACATGTCTATTTTTAACCATTGCGTAAAATGGTTTAATATGCCAACTGCATAATGTATTTTCATGTTTATGAAGTAATCTATTAGTAAAATCATAAATTCTTGCTGGAATTTTAAATTCCTTAAACACTACTTCCATGTCTTGAATAGATGCTCCTCTCCCTATGAGTCTTGAAAATTTGATCTCTTGTTAGTGTGTTTTTAGTTTTTTCATCCACTAAAGTATTACTACAAAAATCGGTTAATAAATTAATCCAACATTCACTGTTAATGTGGTTTCCCTTTTGCATCCCTTGTTTAATCGTGTCCGCTTCCATTCTTAAGGGTGTATGTATATACCTATCATAAATTGATACATTAGAAGCATCCCTGAAATTTTCAGTTAATATCATTTTTCACCGTTTTTATTTACTAAATCTACTGATAATATTTTGATACATTCTATATCATCATAAAACTCTGTCATGTCTTCATATTCTTCATTAAATTTGCATCTG